GCGAGAGTCGGTTCAGGATCCGGAGAGTTGTACGTGACAGGAATCTGGATCGGGAACTGGTAGCGATACGCACTGATGCCAGAATTGAGACGCGAGCAACACGACTCCGTACTGGTGGGGATACACACACAAGCGTAAACCGTGTACGTGTAATGCGCAGAGCGCACGCTTGTGTAGTCTGAAGGCCGTGCGTATAGGTGGAGTCGGCGCGACACTGACGGAAATCGTAATAGGGCTCTACAATTATAATGCGCGGTATATACAGTGCGGTCTTACGATACAAACAGGTCGTGGTATATACAAGGCAATACTAGAGTCTATTAGAGCGCGGAGACCAAAGCGGTCTTATAATATAAACAGGTCGCGATATATACAAACGGTGCTAGAGTCCCTTAGGACGCGGAGACCAAAGCGGTCTTACGGTACAAACAGGTCGTGGTATATACAAAACGGTCTTACGGAATAACGCGGTACGGACTTATCAACTAGCAGGAGAATAAAAGATAAATCACTTTTACATATTACCTAAAAAAACACAATTTATTATGTACAACAGTTTACTAATTAGTTACCAAAATACAAACTCTATAATATATATTTATTATTTCTTAATATAAAAATATGATGATATAGGTAACATATTTATTCCTACCTGTAATTGTACGGAAAATCTGCCTTTTCTATTTATATAACTATTAGGGTCTTCTTTCGGCCGAGAAATGTTTATATGTGTTCCATCAATAACGCCCACAACTTTAGGAAATTTATATAATCTCTCAATGTTTATCCAAGTGTTTTTAGCTTCTTCATAGGTAGGCCATCTAATAAACTGATTTCGAATACTATATATTGCTTGAACTATTCTCTTCACACTAAACCATGCAGTTGATTTAGATACATCAAATCGTTCACTTATGGAACGATATGAATCTGGTTGCTAAAACATAAATAGCAATTAATAATTGTTTTGTAACATCAATTCGTTCTCTTCCTTTAAATGGAATATTATCCAATTGTGCTCCAATTAAGTACAGTAAAAGATGAAAGGTATTACGTTCCATTCTGCAATAAAAAGATACATTGTATGGTAATGTATGCAATATTTACTTTTATTTCTTATAAAAAAGTACTAGCTATTTGATTAAATATTTATTTTGTGCTTTTAAAGTACTAAAATAGAGTATTTAAATATTCAATTTTAGTACTTTAAATACACAAAATAAGTATTTAATCAAATAACTGTATTTTCTATAAAAGATGTACAAATATAGCCTATATATATATTAGGTCTACCGGAAAGTTCTGTCCGTTTCTATCACAACAAGTCTCGAGTCTCGACACGTAAGCACATGTTTATTTAGCGCATGTGTGCCCTCACGCTGGCAAGAAATCATTAATAATAATGGCAATTACATTATTTAATAAAGTTTATTGACGGTAATAAAAATTTGTATTTTGTTTTATTCCAAAAACGGACAGAACTTTCCAGTAGACCTAATATATAAATAAATAAAAACATAATTAATTAACAAAAACTGCAATTTTCCTTTTATATTTTAATTATATTATATCTTGATTATTTTGTAATTGACACAATTTTTTTTTCATATTTATAATGCTCTCATTTGTGATGCATTTTCTCAATTGTGTAGTTATCTTCCTTTGTATTTTATATAGGCGATATATATAATAATAATTATGTAACACTCAATAATAAAAATACTACATAACAGATATTGCAATAATGCATTTTACAAATTTTTAATAATAATAACAGTAGGAATCCTATTATTTCTCATTATGTGTTTAAATTATCTTTTTAATATTTTTCGTGATTAAATTGCTTAATTTCGATATAAATAAATCACGCACATTTAATAAAAAAAACAAAAGACATTCCAAAGATCTCTATTATTTCTTTTCTTGTAGCACTTTCTTAAAATTTACATTTTACATAAAAATGTACATAATGTGGATCTTTAGGTTTTGTACAGTTTCGAGCTAAAAATTGATATTAAATATTGTTCTTATGAAACTAATATAACAACACAGTCATCTATAGCAAAATTTACGATTGTGGAATACTCGTACGTATTCGAAGACCATGCATATCTTTAATTTCTTCTTTAAGTATCTGTAAGCATTCATCAAATAAAGTGATTTATAATATTGTATTTCCATTGATGTTATTATAGTTTTCTCTTAGAAAGAACCACCTCATTAATAATTCGATGCTGCTTCACAGTATTGAGTCCTTTGAATTCTGGAGCAACCACATTTATGTCAAACATAGCACCGCATCCTCCTAGAATACAATTATAATTATATTAATTAAAGTGAATTTCTTGTTATATCTCTCTCTTTAAAAAAAAAATTGTGTTTAAAAGAATATTACACTAAGTATGAAATGTTTACCTGACACATCGGTAACCTCAATCAGTTGGGCTTGAGGAAACCTGTTTCTCAGGATAGATATCATTTTTTGCTCGGCCTGTTTACCTGCAAGTACGCCATTAGGTCCGTTCCATAGCCGAGAGAGTAACTGCAACAGTTTGGTTTTATTCATCTTTCTTATTGTGGTCTTCCCAAGTCTCATCGCTTATCTATAGTATGCAAAACATTGCTCAAAAGGGATAGGGAGAATTGGATTTGAGCAAAGGATTTGTTAACTTCATCAAACTTTGAAAAATTGCACATTATCTTTTGCTTATCTTTTAGCTAGAGACTTTCTTACATTTTCTATGAATTAAATTTATAATAAAGTAATTATATATTAATATTTTAATAAATAAAGAAACTAAGTAATTATCTAATTACATAAAAATATAATTAAATGTAGTTGAAATACAAGATATCAATAAGTAATAATTTTTAAATAATATATATAATTATATTATTAATAAATATGTAATTACA